TTTGCAGGGAGAAGGAGGCGGCGAAGCAGAAAGGGGAATCTTTCAACGGAATATTCTCGTGGGAGGAAATTTGCTCCCACACTCCTAACAAAGATGGTTTGGAGGCAGAGCTTGAAGGTTGGTTGCTCCAAAGTCAAATGTAAGTGTGGAGATACAATTTTGGCTTGTGTTTATGACCCCCCTGGTAATTTTTAGGTCAAAAACCATATTGAATATAGTTAATATATAATAATATTCACGAGCTTCCCAAATATTGTATTATATTGTAGCCAATGAAATGAAGCCAGCTCAAGAGCTCTTTTTAATTTTCTTCAATTTGAGTTTAGAAATTTGCTTTAATTTGTGTTTACAATGAAATGAAATAAATTACCGATGGGCATTGGCATTGTAGCCCTCTACACCCAAAACGACGTCGGCTCATTGTTGTAGATGCAGAAATGCAGGACTAAAAAGCTGGCTTTATACTTGAAAGTTAAAACAGTCTCTTTTTCTCTCTCTCTCTCCACCAAAAAAGTTAATGCAATTCTTGACTCTGAGCTGCTTTCTGTTGACAAGTATGGAATATTGAGATTTTAATATATACCAAAAAAGGAAAAAGATTGGGACATTGTGTGAACATAATTTCTTTTTGACTAAAATTAAACCAACTGGAGCATATGCTTAATTAACCAAGAAATTAATTGTGGTTAGGTCAAAGGTATATATTCAAAGTATATGTATGCGGTAATGTCATGGAAATTTATTGTCATGAATTGAAATCATTTCAATACTCATGTGTTAGTAAACATAGGAAAATTAAGAATTTGAATAATTCCAATATCTATTCATGATAAGTAAACATGCCCCGAATGCTTTTTATTATTTAATGTTTTTGTTGTCAAAGATAGGAAGGAAAATGGGGATTTATTCACACACAACGGTCTTAGGCTAAACATACTTTTCCATTATGGTATTACTCCATTGGCTTCATTATTTAATTTTTAACTGAAACAATTTTTTGGTGAGAAAAAGCAGACTTTAATCCCTTTTTAAGAAAAGGGATAATAATATTTCACATTTTTTATTGAATGACTCACATTATGGTAAATAATTTCTTACAAGCGAAGCAACTGAAAATTGATCAGAAAATAACAAATTCAGGAAAAAAGAAAAAGAGAAAGAAAACCAAAAATCAAATCTTTCTACTTCCATCCTCCTCTCTCTATCTCTCTGTGTGCACAGGTTTTCTCGAAATGAAAATTATAAGAGGGTAGCTTTCATGTGCACTCAATATTAATTTACTTGGACGAACTAACTTTGCTTAATATTCATTATTTTGTTTTGTTGGTTTAATGCTTACACCTTTACAACTTTTTCATTTTACATTCGATTTTGACATAAATTAATACTTAATGAATTAAATTATTATAATTTTCATTATTTTTTTCTAAAAAAATAATTGCTAAATCTTACGTCACACTTCATTAGGAAGTGTACGGGTTGAGTTGACCCCAATTTGGCACCAACTAAACCCGTTTAATAATTGCTAAATCCACTATCATCTCCCAACATATTTTACATTCTCTCGTCCCACGTTATTATTATTCCCGTTACATTCATTTCAATGCGTTAAATCCTGCTAGTTAGATTTAATATCTAAACTCTCTCGAATCAAATCAATTGAAATATAGACATATATGCATGCACAATTTAGGTACAAGGAGAGGAACTCTGCGAGCCTCATCCACATTTACAGGGGATCGCCATCTCTAACTTTTTTTTTTTTTTTTTGCCATAAATTTTATACAAACTATCAACACATGTGAAATACAAACGAAAATTTTCATATTTAAATTGACCTTATATCATGTCAAGTCACTAACAAATGAACCCGCTAGCAACAGTAAACATGTTTTTACACATTATTATTTTTATTTGGTATATTGATTGAGAAGGAATTCACAACGGAATGCATTTTAGTCCAAAAAGGCCACGAGACCTTCATACCAAACAGTTGGAGGAGACACAAGATGAGAGGGAAATCATTCAGCGTTGTTGTTGTTGATAACAAAATAAACACAACCAAGTTTACATATAACTAGAGAAGAGATCGAAATGCCAAGCTGCTTTCATTTTTATAAAGAAAACTCAATCAGACAACTTATAGTCATTCAGTCGAAGACAGCCAGAGTTTGATAGCATTGGGGAGAGATGGCTAATTCCATTACCTGGTCGGGGCCAAGTTCGCCGTCATTCTCCAAGAAGCACTTGAGCATAGCGTCGGAGAAGCCACCCAACAACGTCAACCCTGGCTCTCCGGTACGCAGTGGCGTATAATTCCGTCTGGTGAGATTCCAAATCACCAAGTGTGGCACGGCATACCCCTTCTCCTCAAACTTCCTCTGTATTTCCTCATAATCGCCGCCGCGAGGCTTCCAGCAGCCATCACTGAAGTCTCCGACGGAGGTGAACACAAACACTTTCCTCACCATCTGATCTGCCTTCACATTCTCATTCACCGCCACTTCCAGAATCAAATCAAACACCTTCCCCAGATCAACCTCCCAGTCCTGACACTCAACCAAACTCTGCATAAAGCTGAACTTGGACTTGAGATCTTCGCCTCGTACCAAATGCAGCTGAGGCTTTTCGTTGTAACTCACCACCTTTCCTTCCCAAGGCCCTTCGCTCAGTTGAGACACAAACAGCCCCAGAGCCACCGACTCCGACGCCCGCACGTTACAAACAGCCAAGCAATTGTTCAGCCTCCCCTGCTTTTTGTACACGTCCTCCACCATTCTCTTCCACTGAAGCTCAGCTGCTCGCTCGTAACGACCATTATAATTCACGGCGTAGCGTACGATCGGGTGTGGAAGCACAGCACCGGCCTCAATCATGCTCTCAGACACGGACTCGGACTTGGCCTCGGCGGCGGCAATGGCTTTTTGCAGCGCCACCATATACTTGTGAACCGCAGAGGCAGCGGCATCAGAGGCCTCTAGTTCGTAACACGGACAATAACCCCACTTGTTGGCACCTGTTTCGTTGGCAAGCGCCAAGGCTTGTCTCAAGGGTACCAAAATCTCTTTCCGCAGCCGCCGCCGCCACAGAGACATTGGGTTCAAAAATTCTGATTCTGAATCTGACTCTCCTGGCAGGAAAATCTTCCTAGCAACGCTTTCATACAGCAGTTGATCCGTGGGGGGCGGCACGAATTCGAAGCAATAAGCCACACTGGTTACGTTAAACTCCAACGTCTGCATCTTCTTCTCATTTGGGTCTTGGTCTTGGCCTTGCTCACGCTCACGACGCTGCTGCAGATGCTGGTTGAATTGTTGGATATCATGCTTCAAGCACTCGGCCATAAGATCAGAAACCCTGTCGTGCAAGAACCAATAATCCGGGTCGCCGTGGTACCTGTCAACAGCCTTGTTGGCCGTGGCAATCGTCTTCCTTCTCTTCAACAAGGCGCTCGCTTTCTTCTTGGCTTTTTCCACCTTGATTTGCCGAATCTGTCTAGGACTAGGAGGAGGAAGAGGACAAGTTGTCCTGTTTTTCTTCCTTCCATTTTGTGTTAACTGGAACTGGTACTGTTGGGACAGGAAGTGTTTGTTCTTCTCCTTCCTGGTCCAAGTCATAGAGTATTGATCAACCTGCTGCTGGCCATTCCCTTGTAGAAGAACCCGAGACAGAATGTCGAGAACGTCGAAAATACGGCCGAAGGCGCTGGCAATAGGAAGGAGGTTGCAGGCAAGGGTCTTAGGGTGGTTGTGGTGCAGCCAAAACGCTGCCGCGTAGAAGGCCTCCTCATAGGGTTTTCCATTGTCCCTCCACTTGGCTTGGAGGTTGCAAATGAGCTTGAGGGTGGTGAGGGGATCGTGAGACCAGGCCCGCGGCAGCAGCTGCTTCGTCAGAGTCTCATGGAATTCCAAGTTGGAGTGGATGCCTGATCCCATGGGGCGGTGGAAATAGAGGTCGAGGCAGGGGTTGCTTGGGAGAATTCGGATTCCGGGTCGGGGCATTTGGGATCCGGATAATTGGGTGGGCAAAGGTGAAGGAGCAGCAACAAGAGGAGGAGTGCTTCGTTGTAAAAATTGGTTCCCGAGTGCTTTCAGAACCGAGATCTGTTTCACTCGCTGCCTTCATATTTCTTTTTTGTCTTCTTTCTACGAAATATTGAAATGGAGGAGAGTGAAGGCCTCTGTCTTGCCCTCTCTCCATATTTCATCCATCCATCCATCCTCGTTTTCAAAGTTTTACTTGGGCACCAAGGGGTGTGGGCCCAGATCCCCTATACTTAGATTTCAATTTAATTTCTTTCTTTTATTAATTTTTTTTATTTTATATAATTTGAAACAATAGATTTCCTTTTAGATTTGGGCAGTTTTTAAGGTTAGATTAGATCTTTGTTGTACGATGCGGGGTCAAGTCAATAGGGATTGATGAGGGTACGTAGGTGAGTGGGTTTAGGGTTTAGGGCTTTTCTTTTTCTGTCAATGAGAATAAGCATTTACCAGGCGTTTGTATCTGGTAGGTACACCTCCACCACATTGAGATAGATTCATTTATTATCATACTTACAAAAATTCCAATTAATGACTTTTACATTCTGAACAAATCTTCCACATTAATTTGTTTGGTAAACAGTGACAGAAAGTTGAATCTTTTTTCGTTTTAAGTTGAAATCTAGTAGCTGGTGACAGTACAGAAGAAAGATGAATGCTAGGGAATTTTGTTTATATATATATGTGCCATTGCATTTTATTTGTTTTTTTTAGTACAAGAGATAGTCTAAATTAGAGGGAAGAGTGATTTCTCATATACATACAACTATGATGTTATGAGAATTCGAACTTGAAACCTCTAGTAATAATAATCCCTCACAACACTCAAAGATCAAAGCTTGGCCTCCCTCCTCTGAAATGGAGCCAA